TTTCGAGGATTTTGGATTGCGACACAACAAAACACTAATACTCAGGGATTTGGGAATAGTCAGACGTCTGTTAATATCGATGATTCGTTTTTAAATCGAATCAATGAATTGTTAAACGAATTAAATCAATGGCACCAGCGTGACCAAGAAGAACAATAACGTCGTCTATCATTTTATTTTTAGATCATATGTTACTAATTTTATGCTTTATTGTAGTTCATGTATGTTGATATACTTATTCCATGATAATTCTATGTTTATCCTTTTGTGTGATGTAAATTAAATGCAGAATGACGGTTCATGCAGGGAAAGAACATATCAATATTCGCATATTCATTCAAAAACATGAAAATTCTTAATGGAGTACCCTCATTTCTTATTGAATTCCTAAAAAACAATATTTATAATGAATTTTAATAATTTTTTCGGATTTTTTTTAAGCTTTATTTTGACCAATTCACCCAATTCTCAATCCGAATCGCCGATTCGCCGTTCCGAATCGCCGATTCGCCTATCCGAATCGGTTTTTTGGATGCCTGATCCGTATCACCGATCCGTTTTTTAAACCATTGCTCGAGACCGTATGGCATCACGGGGTCTAGGATTTACAAGAGAGAACGTCACTTCAATACGGTGTGGTTACAAATGACAATCCGTCAGATAAAAAATCAAACGGCTGAGGAGTGTCATCTCTTCTGAGTACAACTCCCATTGTCACTTGCTTATTCAGATTTACGGAACGAGAGAGAGGGAGACGCGTATCAGCATTCGGGAAACTTTTGCCTATTCAGATTAGAGAGAGAAAGAAGCGTTTTAGCATTCGGGAAACTTTTGAGGCGTCTAGGTCGCCATTGATTGAGCTTGAGAAGCTCGTGTACGTATTGATCATCTCTTCCCTTTCTGGGTTCTGCTTCTCGATCTCTTGTTCTAGAGTTCATAAATCCAAATCCTATCTTTAACAATAAAAAATTGTCAAAAAATAATAATCTAAATGCAATATTTTTCTTTCATGAATCTCTCTCTCTGTAACTCCTCTTAATAATGCTCCCTACGCAATTTTTGGTCTGAAAAGCTTCTCATTTGTTTCATTTTGATTTCTGTTATTGTTGTTGTTAGTCGATTAGTATTTAGAAGTTTGTGTCAGAGGATTTTGTTAAGAGAAATGTACAAATGGGGCCAATATTTGATATTGGTTTAAAGAAAAAGAAAGAGAAAAAAATTGGTTTGCGTATTTGGATAATTTGGGTTCGTTGGGTTCAAGGGTTTTATTTATATCTTATAGCTTCCAGACATTGCTACAATGGAAATTAGGCTTTTTTTGGATTATGAATTAAATATTTAATTATAATAGCTCTGATGTTTCAGGATTGCAGATCCTAATTTCCTTCTTCGAATTTAATACAATTGATATCAAGGTTTCTTATGAAAATAAGTACTTTGTGTTTGATATTTATAATTTTTTTTCTGAACTCCTCGAACAGTGATTGATGTGTAACAAATCAATGTATAAACATGATCCTTCAAGTCGTCCATTATTGGAGTAGAAAATTTATAGCTAAGTTTTGATGAATTCTACACTTGGGGTTCATGGCTTTTAGGAAATTTCTACAATGTAGGCTTTCCATGTAAACGTGAGAATGATTAATGTAGTATAGCATTCTGGTGTTTTTTCATTTTTGATATAAATGCATTCACGTAAATGTAGCATGAGAGTTTAGAGCAATGCACTAGTTATGAGTGACTTTGACATCATATATTTAAGTCAACTGGATTTCTCGAAACTTGGAAGAATAAAATGCTGATCAAGTTCTTAAGGTTTTAAGCAATTGACATCATAGTTTAAGGGGTGACATTTTCCAGATGGCAAAGATGACTGGGTATAATCGATGGTCATTGCTTTTGCTACTATTGGATTATACATAATTTTAGATGGGGGTGGAAAAACATAATTTTCATTGAGTCACATATGCAAATGTTTATATACATACATTTGAGCATGCTAACTCAACCAATACATGAAGAAACTGATCTAATTGGCTTGCTTCATGTCCATAGAATTTGGAAATTTTCTTAGTACCAAGCTTTCCACCTAACACTTCCCCAAGAAATTGAGTTCATGACCTTGCCTCATGTATATGGAGAAGCTTTCTAGCTAGCAAGCTAGGTAGGTAAGACCAAGGCTAGTAAGTTGCCTACTGTTCTGATTCTTGCTAGGCATGGAGAAATCTGTAGTTGGGCCCTCTAAGAAACTATGTTATATGGAATTAAGAACCCATTTTTCCATTGTGATCAATATGCATAGATTTATATGATCATGATGTAACTTCTTCTAATCAAATCCACGAGTGTGGTCCCATGTAGAATCCAAGGAGTTGCAAACACAGTTAGAGTATATTAGTTGGACAATAAGATTAACTTGGAGTATTTATATGATTCTATGATGTTTATATGTGTTTCCATTTGGAATTACTTCATCATTAGATGATGCATCTGATATCTGGAGGATGATAATGCAAAGACCAACACGGTTGCCATTGAGGAAATTGATAGAGATGTTCTATCTCATGAATCGTGAGGATCACCCCCCTACTATCTTGATGGTGTTTCTAGCCCCACTTTTCGTATTTCACATGCGCATAATTTATAAATTTTGTTTAGAATTTAATGAATATTCTTTTTAAAAGAGGTAGACCGGATGACTTATTGATCTAGATGATTACTCTTCTATTGTACTCAGTAGCTATGGATATCCTAAATTAGTTGTAGTTAAAGGTTCTTGTACATGTGACTTTTTTTTCTTTTTAGTTCTTTTGATGGATAACTGCTTACGTAGGAGGTTTATGGCAATCGACATTCATAATGCACATTGATATATTGTTAATATTTATGACCAACTTAGGGATCTGGATCTGAGGAATGGTGACCATTCTGGTGGCCTTGGTTTTGGGAGTGTTGTTGGGAGCTGTTTTCCTTATCCCACTTGTTATCAAGCCTGGTAGCTCCCTCAGTTTCCCAAGTTTCCTATAAAATGTTAATTACATATTTGGTCCTTTGATTGCAATTTTCTTTGATTGCAAGTACTGTTCAACCTTTTTTCTCATGCAGGTAAATCTCAAGTTACTCAACCAACCATCTCCACTAAAGTATATCGTTTTGGATAAAAGAAGAAAGAAGTCTATTCAAACTACACATTTAATTACCAAATACCAATAGATAGAGTTCAATAACCATATGGTTTAATTGCTACACCAAATGGACTCATTGGTCCTACTTATCAGGGTCCCAGGAGCTACACAAAAGCTGAGGTTGCTTTGCATAGCACGAGGAAAGGCTGTTGGATCAATGTAAAAGATGAGGTTCAAACTGATGTCATTTGAAATTTAAGATATTCGTCTCTCTATCTCTCCCCGTATATGCGTCTCTGTCCGTGTCTCTCTCTGTCTCTGTCTCTCTCTCTCTCTCCCCTGGGGGGGCCAAACTCTCTCTCTCTTAGTTATATTCATTGATCTTGTATCAGTAATAAATAACTTTGAGGTTTTATTGCAAGTCTATGATGTTACATCATATCTGGAGGAGCATCCATGT